GCCTATGCTGATTCGATTTTGGTACAATCTTTACATTTACAGAGTCAAACAGACTTTCGTCTTGCCGGACCGGGCTCCAATGCTGCCCGGTTGCGTGTATGCGAGGACTGTGGCGCACAGTTGAACATCATGGACCACGAGTCTCGCATCGCTGACCATTTTGGCGGTAAAATGCATCTTGGGATGGTAGAATGTCGTGAGAGATATGCGGAGATGAAGGTGAGTGAAATCCATAGGACTGCTTAGTTAAGTGTCTGTGACCTCTCATCAGTCGGGTAGTGTCTGGAATAGAGCATATGAAAATTGTCGTCAGAACAGACTGTTGGATTGATTCTGTGTTAACATATAATGCTGTCAAGAAAATTGAGAATTGAGAAGAAAATACTATCGAAGGCAAGGGTATGGTGACATTTGCCCCAGGTTCGTGCCCACCTTTATATAGGTATGTCTGAGCAGAGTTACTGCTATCGCCAGCGGCGGGTGGCCGCTTCGTTTGCGCGACCGTGATGTGCAGCGAAAATTGCAGCTACCATTTTGTGATGTGTGGTGTTGTGTGGGATGCTGATGGCCCAAGATCAAGCGCACGATGCAAGTTCCTGCTGTTAACAATAGCATTAAGCTCGTAATCTCTTCACACTTACTAGGGAGGGTAGTCTACTGACCATAGGATATTGAATGGAGACCAAGATAAATCGATAGAGTTTGGATGATGTTTACGGAAATGGAAATCAAAATTGCAAATGGTTTTCCTCGAAAAGTTATGGGAGCTCGAAATTCGCTTGACAGTAGTATCACTTGGATATGCGAACTTGTCGCTTCGATACCAAGCGCCGACAAGGCATAGGGTAGTGGTTTCGCTTCATGGCCGTAGGATGCGGGTTTGCTCCCCGCAATCGTCGGCTTTTTTGCAAAGTGTACTTTCATTTCAGGCTCTCTAAACCTTCTCTGACATTTGCTTAAGTGAACGCCCTATTTCTGCCTTTTATTTTCTCTCGTCGCCCTTATTCAAGGAAAGTGGTCTGCACGTGAATTGTATGACTCTGTTCTTTGGTTCCTATGAAGAATGTTATGAAAAGGATCAGAACTAGAGCTATGCTGAACTCTGCGGTCTTTAATATGACACAGAGGGATATTATACTTATGGTTCGATCACAGGTCAATCGTTTTGTGCACCAGGTTTTTCTAATTCTTTGAAATGCTCTTGGTGCGAGGCTGGGTGTATTGATGAACACCCAGGTTCCTGCGTCACACCGGCCGAGTATTTCTTCAGTCTTGAGACGATTGACTGTTTTGTCACCGGATGTAGAGAATCAGCATGTGTAAGGTGCGCAATTTGTGAACAACATGCGTGCTTCACACATTTTTAAAATTTTTCCATCAATGTTGAGTTTCTTGCAGGCGTCTTACACATCCCTAGTATTTTTCTGTCTAGTGATCCTTGAAGTTTAAAATAGAGCAAAGTCGTACAATTGACGTGCAGAACCACTTTCCTTGGATAGGGGCGACAAGGGGAAATGAAGGCTGAAATAAGGCGTTCTTTTGAGCACGTGTCAAAAAAGGTTTAGAGAGCCTTTAATGAAATGAAAAAACACTATGCAAAAATGTCGACGATGTTGGGGAGCAAGCACGCTTCTACGCCTATGAAGCGAGACCACCAACACTAGGCCACGTCGGCGCTTGGTATCGAAGCGACGAGTCCGCATATCCAAGTGATACTACTGTCAAGCAAATTTCGAGCCCTCATAACATTTTAAGGAAAACCATTTTGCAATTGCAGTTTCCATTTTCGTAAACAGCATTCAAAACTCTATCGCTTCATCTGGGTCTCCATTCGAAGTCCCTCGGTAAGTTGACTACCCCTCCTTGGTTAGCTATTTGGAAGTTTTATTCACGCCGCGAAGGGGGGAGAGGCGGAGCGCAATTGAAATGCTCAAATACCGAAGTACAAAGATGGTGTGCAAATCAACAGCCTTCGCGTGGTCACTGGATTTAATTGATTTCATGCTATGTTGTTGCGGAAGGCTAGCAACTCCTCACTCTGATGGGGTCCGAAATCCTCTCCTCGAAAAAGGCGTCGCGCACGCCGCACCCGCCGCGTATCGCAGGTTTGCGATGGAAGATTGGAGCACGCAATTTGTGAGGTAGGGAGTCCTCTGATTATTTGAATTGGTTGGCCGCTCTCTTCAGTTTCAATGCGGTCTTGATCGTCGCTAATGTAGGAGGAGACATTCTTATTAATCAAGCCTAATAAACAAAAACGAAAAAGAAACAAAAAAACGATCAAATCTAATAAAAAAGAAAGGCAAACAACGAAAAATATTGCGTCCTATCGATTGTCGGGGAGGCGGGGTGAGTACGGTAATTGCAGTGACATTTGCCGCATGCCGCAAGGGAGAATGCCGCAATCGGGGAGAAGTTCCATTACCCGCTCTGATGTGTCCAAGCAATCGTCCAGCGTTGGAGAATCGTTGAATGGTATAAAAGTGAGATTGTGGAGTCTACTACCGAAGTCTCGAAGCCCCTAATAAAACATACAAAGCCTAAATCACAGAAACGCGTATCGTGGCGTTCACTATCGGAACTGGATTCCTTGGTGTGCAAATGAAACCGGGCAGGAGAAGGGTAGCCAGTCCACACGTTATCTCATTGAAGAATTCGTCGCGAGTTAACGGTATTAAGCTACGGGCAACGCTTTAAGCACTAATGTTAATTTTCCAACGTAATCTCAAAAGTGATTTAATCTCAGGATTTACAATTTCGCACCCTTTCCGATTATGCTTCGACAATATCAGAGGGAAGTAGTTTAGGGGAATCTTATTTGTAAGTGTTCATATCTTGCGCCGCACAGGGAGATTAAAGAACTGAAAAGAGTAAGTCAAAGACATTCTTTTCGCTCCCTTTCTCGTAATGTGGTGAGGTGCGGGCATTTGTTAATCCATTATATCTGGATTCATATCGATACGTGGTAGAGCATTTTCGAGATTCCCGATTTCCCAGTTCAGATTGGGGTGTGTACTTCTGAGCTTTGTGGTAAACTGCTTTGCTACACGTTTCGATTTTATTTATCTTGCAACTATGCTTGATTTTTTTTCAAGTCTATTTTCTTTTGGAGTCATCGCTACGTTTTTGAGACATTCTGGATACTGCCCGACTGATCCGATTAACACTATCATGAACGACATTCAACTGGTATATTCTTCTCGACTAACACAATTGTAATAATGTCGTTTCGACAATTGGCTTTGTGTTAGGTTTATTGTCGAAATTTTCGATGGATCGCTCATCGTGGCCTTTTTAAGGTCGTATTACGTCGCGCCTAATTACGCGTTGTTGCCGTTGCATTTGACACTTGTCGTGGGTTTCTGTTTGAACACTCCTGTTAGCGATCCAATTAGGTAGTATCATTTGATGGAAAAATGATGGTTGAAATTGTCNTTCAATCTGATCTCTGTCTCTGATTGCCCATGGATCGGGGCTGCTTGATTTAGCGAGTGAGTGAGCACTCTAGACCGCTGCGATGTGTTCGGACGCTCTACGGGTGACGATATCGCAGGTCAAACTCAGACGTCCTGGATTAAACTCATCTCGCACGCACTACGCCCTTCTGACTGTCATGAGTCTATCATACTGATATTGAATTTTTTTGGATTTTTTTGTTTCTAGTGTTTCTAGTTTCACTAGCTAAAATATGAATTTCCTTCCATTTCAGAAAACTATAGAAGATCGTCGAAGAGAACGTAGAGAGAAGGGATTAGACGGATCGAGATTCGCAGAAAGAAGGTATTTGATCAATGGTGGATGCGATGGTTACTGTTTTTCCACTGATGCTATGTTTCAGGCGATCGCCTCCACGACGTGATAGAGATCGTGAGGATAGAGACAGGCGTGACCGAGATCGTGAGGATAGAGGTTCGCGCCATGGAAGTGGAAGTAGCCGTCGGCGAAGGTAGGATCTCTTTTATTAGGTTTCTTCGTTAGTTAAATATCCACCAATCTTGTCGCTTGCCCTTTTTTTCTCCACAAAAGTTGTTCGATAATCCCTCCACCGAACAACCTTTGCTCCTTCGAGAGCAGGCATCTTCGGAGAATCCCTGATCCCAGTTTTAATCTTAAAAGCAAGCAATCTTACTATATATAATTGGCTAAGTGTGTCTGTTGGTTTGTCGGTGTGTTTGTGCGTGTATGTTTTTGAGCGGATTCGTAACTATTGTTCCCGTGCACCTAGAGCGTTCAAACTTGCTGGGAGTGCAGGCGAGAGGACGGGAACACTGATGATAAGTGATAGAAGTGATAATGATTGAAAGGAGCTGATAAACGGCCTATAATTCGAGAGCAGCAGATTACCTCCGTTACCCCCTTTGTATTAACGATGGAGCCTTGGCACTTTAGTACGAGCTGTGGATTAGGCTAGGGCCGTAGATATTCAGTGAAAAGGATATAACAACTGTTAGGACTGATAAGGAGCCAATGAAGGCGAGAGCCATTTTAGTCTGCAACGTCTTTCATATTGACAATGGAGCCCTTCAGTAAGTGTGAGATGTGAAGGGACCAAAAGTGAATGCTGACAGGGCTGACGACGGCCCTGTCAGGGGCAAAGGCTGACAAAGAGCATAGAAGGCTAGAGGCACTAGGCTTGCAATCCCCTTCGCGTCAACAGTGGAGCCTTAGCCTTTTAATAGGTGATGTAGGATGTGACGTGGTCGTAGATACTCTGCGACAGAAACTGATAGCTACCATTAGGAGCTGTAAAAGGGCCTTAGAGTGTAAGAGTCATTTACCAATTAAATCTTAACGGCTTTGGTGTTCAAACATTGACTTTTGATATGTTTCATTCAAGAAGACGGGTCACTGCAGTGATTGGGACCGATCAAAAGCATTTCTCCATAACGAGATGAAAATTTGGTTCATTTCCTGCTGTTAGACTACGACCGCTACCTAGCAGGATTTTTGACTCAATGAAGTATCACGGCTTTTTTTTTGTTTCTATATCATTTGTGACAAAACCTATCCGACGGCCAATAATTTGGGATTCCGTATTAATGATAAATCCTCAGAAAAGAAAAAGTTACATTGATAACGGCATCTGATGATGGGCGTTACTATCACTCGACAACATTTGTGAGTACCATTCATGGCTTGACTTGCCGTGATGTGGAAATTAAATTTGGCAGCGTATTAGAAGTGCGGACTAACATATACCAGCGTCTCCATACCTTTGTGTTTTTCACTTGACTTTTTCTCTCTGGTCTAATTACCTTACGCCGAAGTTCACGAAGCAGCTTCACAATTTCGAAAAACTTCATTTTCAATTTCAAGAGGATTTCGGTCTATTCCTTCAAACACGATAATTTTGTGTTATCTGTTATAGTAAGTAGTTCGACCGGTGCTGTACCGGGGTCTCCAGATCACAATGG